CAAAGATGGTTTTTTTTTTTTTTTTCATTTACAATGTACACAGACACCTAGAGCCAGATGTTTGTGTAATTAGATTGGAAAAAAGACTATGAATTCACTACAAAACCTCTCCCCCAAATTCTTTCTTAGCATCCACACAAATCCCAGAAATTAATATGCACACTTATACATGATATCAGCCGAATCAACCAATTCTATTGAATTTATGACTAATTGAATAATCAGGTAATTGGGATAGAGTTGGAGATGAGGGAGAAGCTTCATCTTTATGTGCATGTATATATATAGATATAAGTGAGTGTGAAAGATTTTCATATATATATATATATATATATCAATTACCTGAAGTGGGTTGGATCGAATCAAGAACCTGTTTCTTCTTTCTCTTCTTCTTAGCTGTGTGGTTCGATTGTCCAGAGCAAGGAAACCAACCCATATGTCCTCTCTGTAGAAAAAGCAGAGAAACAGAGAGATGGTGTACCAAAAGCTCAAGAAAAAAGTAGACCCAACACCAGAGAGACAGATATACAGAAAAGAGGGGGGAGAGAGAGAGAGAGAGAGAGTATTGGCTTCACAACTTGGAAAATTGAAACAATATATAAAGAGGCAACAATGTTGATGTAATTGGCAAGACCTGGTCCAATCTTAAAATCAAAAGTTCAAGCCTTTATAAGAAGTTTGGTGTCAGCAGGTAGAGCTGGCTCGGACCTCATTATTTATTTAAAATATTAAATTAATTAAATGTCAATTAAATTTATTTTTTAAAAAATAAATACTAATTATTGAATTTTTTTTAAATAAATATAATTTTAATTATTAATACATCCCTAAATATAAATATATGAGTATAAATCCTACTTAAGAGTGTTTGGCAGTTGAGGTTCCTAAATTTTTAAATTTTGAAAGCTCCAACTACTTCCAACATTTTTTATATATTTTTGTTGCCTAATATGCCCTTGTGCAATCAAAGCATCTTTCAACATTTTTATATATTTTTGTTGCCTAATATGCCCTTGTGCAATCAAAGCATCTTTCCTAGATGATCACCTCCTTTTTATCAGAAACAAAAATGAAACAACAATACCTGATTTACAATATTTCTCCTCTAACATGAATCCTATTCTACTATGAACTTTCCTCTCTAATGATAATCTTAACAAACTACGTACCGCCTCTAGTAATCATGGTAGCTACTTTGATCTAATGTCTCCCAAAATACTCGTCGTACAATGGTGATCAACATGCCTTTGGGTATGTAATAATATTGAAGGTAAATTCTAGGGGATCTATTCATAAATTCTATTTAGTAGACTTATAACTCAATAAGTCTATAAAATTTTTTAGTATTCCATCAAGTCAAATATGTTTAGATTTTTATCCCATGAGATCGGGTCCTTCTATTTGCACACACCCATTCCTCTTTGTGCACATCCTTTGCAATACACACACTTAAAAAATTAATTTAAATTTATTTTGCTCACTCCACACACCTCTTATTCCACATCTACCCTCAAATGTAAATTATGCACACACCCTCTCAGAGAACACACAAACCCCTCAGACAGACCTGTCTCTCTCTCACACACACACCCATCTCTCACACTCCACCGTTCGTCTCCCAAAAGCTTCATCCATTCATTGAAGACGTCAATCATTGGTATTGAAGAGTATTGAACAAAATGACGTGAATCATCGAAGGAAATCTTCTCATTTGGAGAACTTAGGTTAGTTTACTTATATTAATCCTCATTCCTATTTTATTTGTAATGTAGGGTTTGTTTTTACCATTTTTGAAATGACGCATAGCCCACCGTGATTGAGCACTATGTTCCTCATTCGGAATTGGTTCTCCGAAAATAACATATTTGATCGGAAGTAGAAGTTCGAAAATTAACATGTCATTCAACATTGGAATTTCGATTTTTTTTATTTATTTATTTCGACATTTAACTTCCGAATTTATTTAATTCATTTGACATACAACTTTCGAAAGTTAGTTATAGTTTTGGTTTTCAACTTCTAAACAGTAGAGATATTTTCAATTTTCAACTTCCGAGCGGTATATATATATATTTTCTCTTTTGTATATTCTTTTTACAATTGTATGCTCATTAAATATATTATTTTTGTAGATAATATGGATTATGAACGTCAACAACCTGTCCCATCTGATGCTTCAAATAGAAGACGTCGTGAAGTAGATGTTGACCATGAACAGGGACGCGGGCGTGAGCGAGGACGAGGACGAGGTTGGGGTCGTGGTCGAGGTCGTTATCCAGTTCCGATAGAATATGATATCCCCAGTGCCAGTCATAGTCAAAGTCGTAGTCGAAGCAGAAAATGAGTTGAAGGTGATATGCTTGACATTGCCATGGAGGATGCCCTTTTACTCGATTCTCCTACTATCCAGGAAGAAGACCTTACTCATGCTTTTCCAGGTGGACCGACTGATCCATCAATACTGCGGAGTTTTAATAGTCATGTCGCTGCAGTTGTTTGGCAGGGGGAGGTAAACATTCCTGAGTAGAAGTTAAATTCATTTGTTTATGATTTTTTTATGGTGTTATATGGTAGTTTCTAATGAGATTTTAATTTCTTTTATAGGAACGAGGGCCCCTAGAGTGTCATAATCACTCTTCGAAGATCCTTGCATAGGCATGGTGGTTAGTAGACAACAACATCAGATTCAAAGCTATGATTGAGCGGTCTGGGCTGACACAATTAGCTCGTTGCACTTATCGGTTCGTCAACAAGCTTCTAATCTCCAGTTTTGTTGAGAGATAGCAACCGGAGATGAACACATTTCATATGACAGTTAGTGAGATGACCTTAACCTTGGATGATGTTGGCACTATTCTTAGCCTTCTCATTGTAGGCAGATCAGTCAGCGTTCTAGATGTAATGGATCTTCATGGAGTTATACTACTGGTTTCTGGCTTGGGGATTACTGAACGTGTAGCACATGACGGGGTTTCTACTGCTGGTGGGAATTTAGTCAGGCTTGAGTGGTTGTGAAGTCAATTTGCTGGTGTCACAGATTCAGACCCAGAGGAGGCCATAGAGTGCGCTGCTAGAGGTTATTTGTTATTTCTGTTGGGATGTACGCTCTTCAGTGACAAGAGTGGTACCAGGGTTCCTATTGTTTACCTTGGCTTATTAATGGATTTGGGATTTATTCATACTTATGCCTGGGGTGCTACTGCATTAGCATTTTTATACAGACAGTTGAGGTATGCTAGTCGATCTCGTGTGAAGCAGATCGGTGGTTATATGACTCTTTTGGAGGCGTGGATTTATGAGCACTTCCGAGCATTCTGACCTCTCCAGAACATAGGCTACAATGAAGGCATGCCATATGTGTACCATTGGACATTTAGGAGAGAAGCGGGCTCCTCCATTGATCATTTGAAATCTTTTCGAGCGGAGCTTGACAGTTTGGTAGCAACTGATGTAAGTTTACTTGTCCTGAGATAATTTTAACACTTTTCATTTATCTTACCCTTTATATACTTTAATTCAAAAACATTTTACGTTTACAGGTTATTTGGGATCTATACCAGAGTTATAGAGACCGGCATCCCTGTAACATGGTTACGTTCTACCATGGATGCTTGAAGTGCTTAAACGTGGTCGAACCCTATCATCCAGATAGAGTTCTAAGGCAGTTTGGCAGGGTTCAAACCATCCCAGATGCACCGTTGGCTCGCACTCATGGTACTCGAGGCAACATATCTGCACGATATACAGTCATGAATAGATACTTAGATAGGATCTGGGAGGCTTGGGATAGCCATGTGTTATCTAAGCAGCAGGAGAGCACATCAGTTCATCAACCTTGGGAATACATACCGGGTTACATAGATTGGTATAAGAATATCATGCACCTATATGTTGAGCGCATTGATGGACCACGTGTGCATGAACATCATGATTTCAACCAACATGCTGATGTAATACATTATCCTCTTTTATGCATTTGTAACGTACTTCTATTTTTTTGATATGTACCCTAAAATGTGGTCTTTTTTTAAAATGCAGCGTATTGCACATGCATTGAGGATTGCACATCCTATCATTCAGGCTGGTTATGAGGACGAGATTCGACATTTTCATTGACTTTACCAGGCTATTGAGGCTATGATGCATGTCCTTGAATGACACATGTCCTTGAAGGTCAGCATTTTGACGAAGTTGGACCTATTTCGACTTTCGGATATTGACATACAGTCATAGGCTTACAGATGATTCGTGACATGTTATATGATAGTTGATAAATTTTTTGTGGTGTTTTTGTAAGTTGACATTGCTGTAGACATCTTTGAATGACATTGTAAATGATATTTTCTTATTAGAATGGAATGGTAATAATGGTCAATGACATTGTAAATGATATTTTATTATTATAATGTAATGGTAACAATGGTCAATGACATTGTAAATGATATTTTCTTATTAGAATGTAATAGTAACAATGGTTGATAACATTCAATCCATGTCAAAGAACACATCAACATCAAAAAACACATCCATTAATTTCTTTCATAGTTCTAACATTGTCAAATGTATACATTTGTCAATCGACATCAACAATGTCAAATGTCTCTCGAGTAGCTATAGTATCATGAATAATGTCCTTGAAATGCTGAATGCGGCGCACATATGCATCATCCCAATCTACAGCGCAAGGGTGACTGTATTTTAGCCAATTAGTGGCTATAGGAGGAACTGGATGGCCTAGCTGCAAAAAACCTACACCAAAATTCACTTCAGTTAGTGGTCATACCTTATAACTTCCTGTACATGCACGAAATGATAAGTTTCTCTTATACCTGCACGAAATGATTTCCGTTGACAAATCCAATGGCAATCTCACGTTTATCAAGTTGAGATACTAGCACTATTCTCAGAGGTAAAAAGGTGAGACATTGCTGTAATGACAAGTGGTATAACACAAGATTGTAGCACGATACAACAAGATGCCCCATGTCTGGCATAGTCATCTAATGTGAGTAATCAGGACTATCTTCAAAGTATGACAATATGCTTGTCAATTCTTCAAACCTTTTGTAAGACCCATAAAGTATAATGTATTCCTCTTTGTGGGTGTGCAACTCACCCAAAAGATCATGCCTAACCTGAGCCCAATCATTTTCTATATGACCAATTGAAGCAACTATAGCCCTGAAATCACAATTCCCATCTGCAGCTACATCCTTAGCAAACTTAATGTATGTTTTCAACCCAGAAGGGAAAGCATTAACATATGCACCAGGTCTTACTATTCTGGTAATATACACCATCTTCTTCACATTCACCTTCTCATTTCCCTTAACAAGTCGCTTCTTCTTGGTTTCCTAAGTAGAAGCTAATGTAGTGATTTGAGTGTCCAAAGGTGAGAAGGAATCATGTCCAGATTGCACCAACTCAAATACATACGGTTCATAACGGGTAGAAACATTAATCTTTTTATGATCCCGAGGACGTGTATTGGGCTTCACTTTCGGCTCAACAAGAAAAGTGCTTCCCAGATATACAATCTCTTTTAACTTCTTCAAAAGCTCCAACTGCATGGTTCTATCACTTTTATTGAACTTTTTCACAAATAACTCTACTTCTGTATGACAAGTCACCTCCATTTCCTCTTCTTTATTGCATATGGAGATATGAAGTTGCCTCCAGTGTGAGTGTATGGTAGCAAATGGTATATGGCGATCTTGTCTGATGTAGTCAGCAATCTCATGGGCACAAGGTAAACCATGAATGTAGAGAAGGACGCATCTACAAGCTTCAACATCAATACCAATGGAATTGACTCTCTTACTCTCTACAAGCAATGCAGAAATAGACACATTACCCCATAGCTCCTTGAACTGAGAAGGCTTGAATTGATGTTGCACAACAGTTAGACTTTTCTTAAATGAAGAGTTGATATCAGTGTGTTGCAACTCAAGCAGACTGTGTATTTTCTCAAATAATGCCTCAAATGAGACTTGACATAAACCCAGTTGTCTTTTCAGTTTTGCATGTGCACTCTCAACTCTGTTCAATTCAATGTAAGTGAAATCAAAATCAAGTACATGGCACTTCTTAATAACTTATTGAACAAAAGTAATCTTACCGGTTAGTTGTAACATTGCCATAATGCATACACGTGTCTGTCCATGCCGCCACAAATTTCTCCTTGTAAGGAACCAACCAAGTATCCATGATGTAGTTGACTGCATCAGGATAACTACTGAATTCCTTAAGTAATGACTGAAGACGCTCAACGTATTGAATTTCAGAAGATGAATACACTAAAGTGTTCTATTCACAGTTAAACTTCTCCTATTTCTGCTTTGTCTCAAACAGTTTCTTGCATTTGGTTAATACATTCTTACTAATATGCCAACAGCATAATAAATGTCTGGCACTTGGGAATGTCTTCTGTATGGCATTCATTAAGGCTAGCTCTCTCTCAGTGACAATAATCGCCGGCAAAACAAACCATCCATGACATCACGCAATGTAGTTAACACCCATGCATAGTTGTCAGCCCTCTAAGGCTGTAAGTATGTGAAAGCTACCGAGTAAGTCATTTCGGTTAATGTCACTCCCACAATTTCAAGAAGAGGAAGACAATAACTGTTGGTTTTATATGTGCAATCCATAATCAATATACGTAGGAAAGACCAAAATAAGTCCAAACTGGCAGGATGTGTCCAAAACAAGTTTGTCACAGTCATCATGGACTCTTCACATCGATGGCGCTCAATGTAATTATACTTGGCCAATTCACCCAATAAGTGTTGCATCTGTGATCTTCCAGCTCTCTCTACCACACTATTTCGATGGCGTACGTTGTAAATGGTTTTAAGTGTGCTTACATTGAGGGCATCTCGTTATTTCAAGGTTACTAGGATCTCTTTTGGCCTAACCATGCTCTTTGACATATCCATTAACAATGATTTCTCATTCTTTGATAGCCTCCCCGCATATGAATGTCCCTCAAGGTGCTCCACAGGTGGATGGTTATACAATCCGCATACTATGGTCAATGTCCATTCATTATTTGTGGTCAACCTGTGAGCCCTCATATCAAAAGGACAACCAACCTTCTTCGTATTGGTTATTCTTGATGCATTGTTGTTTCCCTCATGCTTTAACTTCTTTGTTGCTCTATATTGGTCACTCTTCTCACAAGCAAGACATATCCTGGGTCTTTTTTTCCCTCCACCATAGTCTAATGTTTTGATTACAATGACCAAATCAATTCTCTTTCCAACTTCACATACCTAGTCGAACAATTCATCCTTACTTTTGAACACCTACAAAGTCAAATAAATATTATCAAACGTTTACATTCTTAAGTAATTCAAAACATAATCATTATAATTTCGTAGAGTGAACTTGGTCAGTTGTGAATTGAGTAGTGTAATCCAACACACTATCTGAGCGAACCTCACTTCCTTGAGTTGAGACATATTCTTGCAAGTTTTGTATAATACTGCAAATTTGAAATGGCATTATAAAGACAAATTTGCTATTTGAAACTGCAAATTTAGTATGAAATTTACGAATTTGGAATATAAAATGGAAAAAAAAAACTTTTACTTTAATCAGAAATACAATGTTGAAAACAATGCTACTGTTCGAATGTAGTTGTCCGAATTATTTTTAATGATTCGGAAGTCGAATATTGAAAATTTGACATTAATTTGGAATACAACTTTCGAAAGTAACTAATTATTTTGGTAGTAGACTACCGAATAAACTGATATATTTCGACCCTGGTTTTCTAAAAGACGTTGGAAAAAAAAATTATGATTTTTACATAGCAAAACTCACATTTCCTTGGCTATCTTTCTCATAAACAGTTATCTACTTCTGAAAATCTGAATTTTCAGAAAGGAAATCTTCCATAACAATGATGAATGTGGATGAGATTTAGTGTGTAAACTAATGAAAAGCTAAGAATTAAGAATGAGGGTGTTTAGTGTGTAAACTAATTAATAAAAGCTAACAATGAAGAGTTTGAAAGGATGAGGATGGAGTGTGGAGGTTTAGCAAACTGGATATGGAAGAATAGATTGTGTCCCCATGGACTGGCATGCTTTAACGTGTAGTCTGAGATGAGATATGGATGTGCATTGAGAACTTGTGTTTATTTGAGTTGCGTGTGACGTTCATAATAGTAATTTTATTTAGAGATAAAATTGTAATAAAAATAAGTATCATTAAGTGTGTGCACAAAGAGGAATGGGTGTGTGCAAATAGAAGCTCCCCATGAGATCTTTTTTTACTGATTTATAATTTTCTTGGGACTATAATACCCTTTTATTTTATTTTGATAATATGTATTATATGTTTTCCATTTACATTATCTCTCTCTCTCTCTCTCTCTCTCTCTCATTTTTCTATATATATATATCGATGCTCTATTCTACAGCTATCGCTCTAATCGGACCAAATTCAAGTTGAAAAATCAATTGCCTTGTCTTTCTCACCAAACCCATTTTGATTTTCTTTTGAATTCTTCAATTTCTTTGCTTATTTTCCCATCTAAACCAGTATACTTTCATTTAGATCGCAGTAACACTTTAACAAGGCTTGTGCTCTGTAGTTTGAGATCGGATCATTCTATGGTAACCTAATTCCAAAAATCCCAATCTGTTCACCGTTGAGGTAATTGATTTTTGGGTGTGTGTGTATTCAGTAGAGATACATGTGTATAGTCGAAAGCATTTTCGAAATTGGTGAAAAATGTTGAAAAGAGTTGAAATTTGTTGAATGTATTGTGAAATTGGTGAAAATTGATTAGTGTCTTGTGGTATGGTATAGCATCCAACCAAGGTTTGGAGATAGATTGATATGGTATTATAGTGCGTCTTATTAGTTGGATATTTCAGTGAATGTAAACGTTCACACTTACTGAAGTAATTGTTGTGATTATCATATTTTAATATTTTGCATTTGGTAATGTGAACAGTACAACATAAAGATGTGAATGTTTACATCAACATAACATTTTAATAGTACAACATAGAGATGTAAATGTTCACATCAACATTGCATTTACCACAATGCACACTAATCAATGGTTATATGTACACAATAACAAGCAACTACTAACAATGTGAATGTTCATAGTGTCTTTATAATAGCACAACATGACTATATTAACAATGCATTACTCACAAATTATAATCAATGTTAATATTCACATTAAAAAATAGTCGTAGTAGTACAAACAATAATGTGCTATTTTGGTTACAAACATAGTGTGCACATAGAGATGTGAATGTTCACATTAATTTTGTAATACAAATAGGTAGTCGCACCAAATGTTAATGTTCACACACTCATGTGTATGGTTCCATGAGGGGATGATATTGATAATATTGTGTTGATTTAAATACAATTTATTATAGGTTAAATGATATTATTGAATCATCTGCTCATGCATTTTTTTCTTGGATAATATTTGGACGGTTTATTAGTTGGTTTTGTCTTTGTCATTCCTTATCTTTTTTGTGTGTGTCAATTTCCGACCACACTGCCAAACTAGTACTTAGCTGGAGAGCATCGGCAGAATAGATTAAACCCGAACGACCTGTCAACAAAAAGAAGAGATTCCGGCAGTGGTTCGTCCACCCGGGGGCACTCTGACGATCAAATCAGTTATCTCTCAAAGATAGCAAAAGTGCTTAACTCACTATTCAGAGCATAAAAAGCATACCTTAGACCCCATGAGGGTGCCTCTCTTTTATAGCCAATACAAACCTAGTCCCAATAGAAGTCTAGCTTCAATGAATTTAGGATTACTGCTAATCTTGGACTCCCAGTAGGATTAGGATAAACTCTCTAAGAGTTTTATCTTTACCAAACTGAAGTCTTCTCCCATTCTAGGACTCTTATCCCTTATCCGCTTATCCCGGATTCCAGTATCTTTGCAGATAACCCTGGCCTAGCCGAGATGATCTCGGCGTCATGACCAGGACACGTGGCACCTCGGCTGGCACCTTGGTGACAACCTCGGCCACGTGTTGTCATTCAAAAATTATGTCCCCATATTTTTTATCCTAGAATGAGAGAGATTTTCTTTATATAATAAGGGGGATATTTTCTTTTGGAATAAAGGAGAGATTTTTCCCCCTAAAATTAGGGACTGTTGTTATTTTTATTATTATTATATATTGGTTTCAAAATAGAAACACATGCAAAAAGTTTGGAAGGGTAATTTGGTCATATTATTCTAAACAGGACCTAATGGAATACCAAAAAGAATATGAGTTAAATGGAACATAAATCTTAAGAATGAGATTTACTAAAAAAAGCTCCCAAAATTCTATAATACAAATTAAAAAACAAAAAAACAAAAAACGGTGCCCATATAATCAATACTCTTTTGTTAACTAATTGTTGTTGGATATAACTTTATTATAACTCATTGTAGTGTGAATTTATAATTTATTTATGACGGTTGTTATTTTGATCATGGAAATTCTAAAAATCTCTGAGATATTGATTTATGATTATGAATCAATTTTAAATAATGAATAGTAATCTTAATCAAACAATCAACAACAAATCGGCATAACGATATAACATAGAAAAAATCACAATTAGAGTACCTTCAATTGTGATTAAAAAAAAATACGGGTCAAAATCACAAAATAATCCATTAAGAAGACAAAAGTGATTACACATAGAAAAAATCGGCATAACGATATAACATAGAAAAAATCACAATTAGAGTACCTTCAATTGTGATTAAAAAAAAATACGGGTCAAAATCACAAAATAATCCATTAAGAAGACAAAAGTGATTACACATGATCCTTAATTACCTAGTGAATCCATGTTTGAATTGAACCGAACCCGATGTGCCTCTTCCACCACCATTTTCACCTCGGAATTGCTTTGCCCAACGTTGAATTCACAACACTGATGTCAAATCCACAACGATGAGTCACTTCAGAATCCACCAAAGCTTCAGGTCCAAGTTTCTCGGAATAAACCAATGAACACCTCTCTCTTTTTGTGAATGAAAGAACAAAACAACCCTTGATGATAGTCAATATGAAGCTCGTTGATCAATCAATTACTTTCAAATCATAAAGGAAACAATACATAAACACCCTCCAATATAAAATACTTTGTTTTCTCTTCCTCTCTAAGAATTTGGACAGGTTAAATCTTAAAAATAACAAATAACACACTTTATACTAAATAGAGTCGTGAAGACCGCTCAAGCGCTCAGTTTACCGTTCAAGCGATGTGATTAAAGGTGGTGCTCACATATAGGCCAATCGCTCGAGTGCAGCATCTATCGCTCTGCTTGAGCGGTAAAACATATTTTCCAGAAGTTTAGAATGTAAGCAGAGATACTAGATGAACTACTTCACCGCTCTAGTGCACAAAAGATTGCCTGATTCTTGTATTTAATTAGCAAAGTGGCAAACAAGGAATGCTCAAAAACAAGATAAGGAATATCAGCACAAACTCCTTTACTCAGGCACAATTCTAGTTGGATTCACATCTAAACTCTCATAACTCATAGATACAATAAAGCGAATAAAAATACAACTGAATGAGTTTTGTCCAACATGATTGCCAATTATAAAAACCTAACAAGTCATGACCCAAAAAGTCCTTAATTATGTCTCAAATGATGTTTAGAGTATTTAGTTATAAGCCATTTTCACGTTGGTTATGACTTATTATGGTCTGCGCAAAATATCACCCAATTTGCTAAAATTGCACTGATCTGCATCAATCCGTACTGCTTTATCTGCAAATCGCAGATTAAACTTTAAACTTTAAAATTCGCCTTCGAAACCGCTTTGCTTCGCTATAGTTAATACATTTATATTTTTTAACATCTAATGAAATATCAAAGTAAAAATGAGTGTGAGAGAGATTTAAGATGTGAAATTTGTTACAAATTAGTAGTTATATATATGAAAATATTATGTAAAATTAGTTTGTGTTATATGTATAAAAAAATATTATGTAAATTAGTGTTACATATTATGCAAATGCTTAACAATTGGTTAAAATATTCTTCAATCCGCTAATCCGTCTAAAATTACCC